CATTCTCCTTTGATCTGAAACCATGAAAGTTGATAATTTAGTTAAATGATGATGCTGAAATTAAGAGATGATTTAGTATTTGTTCTTTTTATTTGGAACAGTCTCATTCTAATTCAGATTTGACATGTTATGTGAAGAATTAAAATACTTTTACCGAATTCAAGAAACAATTCCGTTAGCTCCACTTCCCATGAGACAAACTGTCTTTCTTCAACCTTAGACAAAAAGTAAACCTAATTTTATCCTCTGGTTCTGTGGTAACAAAAAAGTGGTCTCAGGATTTCTACAGAATTGAGGAGATACTTGGCTTTAAGGTTTATGGGGAAAGTCATCAATAATAAACTAAGACTATCCTCAGACCAACAATGCCAACATCCATGACACAGCATCTAGAACTATGACACTGACCTTGATCTAAAACACTGACAAGTAGTTAAACTTCAACCCATGCACAGATTTTCTTCTATCATTTTCTATTGAAAAAAAGAAAAAAAGAGAGAAAAAAGAAAATTATTTTCATCCATAAACCCATGCACCATGCCGTCTAATAAATAAATAAATGAGTAAATAAATAAATAAATGAATAAATAAATAAATAAATAAAAGTAAATAAATAAAATAAATAAATGAATAAATGAATAAATAAATGAATAAATAAATAGATAAATAAATAAATAAAAATTTAAAAAATCACATACCTCGTACCACCTTGCTTTGATTGAAGAGTCAGCTGGACGAGAATTTCAATCCTCATTGGTAAACACTTGTACTCTTTCCACAGATATTCAGCCTCTTTCACTGCCCCTGCTAGATCACCACTGAAATAAATAAACACTAAGCTGAGAGACCAACAAACTCTGGATATAATTATATGAGAAGATGAAACGGAGAAAGACAGAATGAAAAAAAGAGCTGATATCTTGCACAGACTACAGCACAAACTAAACTGCCATTCAGTACAAGTGATCCTCCTCTTTATTTGTTTTATATGCCACTGATATTCCACAGATAATTAGAATGATTATGAAGATAAACACATTCTAACTTCTCTTTCTTCAAAATCTAGTACAAACACATGAAATGTCAAATAAGGGGACTTAAAAATGGAATTCAATCATGTGTCTAAAAGCTCCATATAAAAAAGCTTACTGGTGCAGATATTGTCAGGTTTATATAAATATGATAAAAATAGTACTAGGCCTAGTTAAGCCTATAATTGGGGTTTTCAATCATTCTAGTCCAAACCTGTTTCATCATTAACTTACAAAGGATTATCACATATTGTACTTACCTACGAAGTCTTGCTTTTATCAATGGTCCTGCTATGACCTGCATCTACATTAATTACATGATTTGTCTGAAGGAGGTCAAATATTTTTTTTGTATTTGTATGATCCTGATTTTCTGCTGCTGCCATCAAAAGATTCCAGCAATTTCTTTTAATAGCTTTTTTAGCATGCGGTTTGGAATACTCTTCTAAATATCTTTTCAGGATATTAACTGCATCTGAAATCAATGGTGGGTTATATTAGGAGTCTCTGATATAATGAAAAAAAAAATCTATATATAACATGTATACCTTTTACAGTAATACCTACAAGAACAAGTATGAAGCTAATAAAAGTTTATGGCACTGATGAATCTCACTAATCTAGCATTCAGTGGTCCAGCGGCTTTGATGGTTTGGGACAAAAATTTGAATCTGGCAGTCAAGATTTTGCTACTTTTGCTTCTTGACTCCTATATTATTGGGCTTTATTTACATTCTACCTCTAAATATGCCTACTCAGTGACTAGCAACTAATATGAGTAACAGCAAGACATTAAAAAGCTGACTATCAATACTTTTACAAAGACGGAGTTAGATTTATACCTCCAGAAAATATAGTGGTATGAATAGTATAATGGTACATAGACATTATAATGCCATCTTTACCCTGCACCTCAATTGCAAGGAAGATCTACTACTGGATCCCAAGCTTGGTAGATTAGTGAATGGCAACTAGAGCTGGCAAACTTTGCTTCTCACTCTATTCAAATAATCTTAACTATGAACGAGATCTAAATTTATGAATCACCAATATCAGTAATATCAACTAATCGCCATCTTAACTACACATGATAAATCACCAACCTTCTGTAATATCAACTAATCGCCATCTTAACTACACATGATAAATCACCAACCTTCAGTTCTCTTCTTTTTCACCAAGAGTGTGCACAGATCAATAACCTTATAAGAGTCCACATTAAATGAGGGGTACTTCGTTTGCAGTTCATTATACACAGCCAAAGCACTGTCTGCACTGCTGCTCTCAGTCAAGGTAGTCATGATACTTGACATCATACCACCACTGAGACTGACTTCACCTACTTCTGCTTCCTTGAAGAAGAAGACAAAAATTAGCCTTGTGTCAAACCCCTCATCGTATATGGAAATGTTTTCTCTATACACTTCAGTCTACTTCCACAAGACTACTATCATTTTTTTATTTAATAT